ACCTCTTCATCAGCTCAACATTTTTGTCCAGAGAGCATTCTCTTAAGGTCTGAGAACAGAAATGTAGTTAAGTTTAATTGAACAATATTAATGGATTCCTAATTAATATTACTATGTAGAGCGGGGGAAAGGAACTAGGAAAATCTCCGCAACTCTTTTTAATCACCGAGTCTTTGTAAAAGGATATTGTAAGGAACTGCAACCATTACGCCAAAGACTGAGAATCCCAGCAAATTATTTATTATATTTTAATTTATTGAATCACTGTCGGAAATTTGTATGGGTTTACAGAATAACAAACAAATAAAATAACATGTCTTGCGCTGGCTTTCAAAAATAATCAAGGAAAAATCTGTAAACATGACCAGGGTTTGTATAGCCATTTTTATGGAATATCTTAGTTACATTTAACTGGACAAAATAAACAGAGAAATAAATATGACAATAGCATGCACCATTAAACCGACGATTACGAAACGGCCATTCAAATGAATTTACCATATTATTTTCCCACAAACTCCATTTGGACGCGCAGAGCCAATTTTTTAAGTGTTGCCCGCTCAAATAAATTATGTAGCAAATGGGGTAGGCGCAATGGACAAACAAGAAATAAAACGGATGAATACGACTCGCGTTGTGTGAGCGGGATGGTTCTATCGCCTCACCTCCTACTCTCCCCCCACCCGTTCCACTTGAAGACGGCCCAGAGGTAAGCTCGCGTTTTATTGTCACTTACACCTTTAAGATTTGTTTGAGGCATCTTCGGTTAATCCGGTTGATTGGGTTAATTTTGTGTCGTATAAGTTTTTATAGATTTTAAGACTAATATTGACTTCTTTATAAGTAAAATATTACATTTTTGTATAAGTTTAAGTTGAACACTAGGCATACTTATAATATTTGAAATAAACAATGTTTAGGTTAAATTATAATCAATTGCTTAGTTCTGCGTAAATAAAATATTTTTATCTGGTAAAAAGGGTACGTTTTTAATAGAGCTAAAATAGATATGAAAACATTTATTTTAGTTCTATTAAAAAAAAAAACAACATCAATTGGAAAACAACATAAAAACTTTGTCTACGTATAAGACAATGTTAAAAGAACTTAGATAATATCGAAACGCTATTATAAGGCATCAAGTTTCCAACTTCGTATAAATTCAATTAACTCCTTCACTTACCGTCGTTACTGATTACCCCATTCATCTTCAATTCTTTCCAGTAAACGTTAAAAATATTTCCAAACGCATAAATAATTTACGGGATGAGGACATAAAGTTTGAGCCCCCGCATGCAAATTGAAAGAAAGAAAACGTCGCCATCCCTTTCTTATGTCTCAGAATGGGTTGGTGTGAGCGAGAGATTAAGAGTGAGAAAGAGTCGCGTTCTAAGTGAATCAGTGCCCGCGTTCGCTATTAAATCAGCGCGAGGGGGAGGGGGGGTTTCGTGCTAAAATGCTTACGGCGGGTGGGGTTTTGTTTGCTGAGGGCGGTTTCAGAACGATTACTCTAGTGGTACCAATGTAGCGTTTAAAGCGCTTCAAAATATTTAAAATAATTCTGCTGGATGCATGAAAATGTTTCTGTGAGTAAAACAAATGAATAAAATTCAATATATAATATGTGTCTTAAGAACGGTTTTACTCAATGAAACATTTTCATTGATCCATTCTTAAAATAAAAGATAATATGCTAGTATATCGAATATTACTCATAGCGGCTTCTTAGAATCCGTTTACCACATGTAACGTTAGTAACATTCTTTCAGTAAATTTTACAAAATAAAATCATGGCCCATTAACTTTATTAAGCCCGTAACAAACCGAAAGCTGCTAAGCTATGTAAGCGCTTTATTATTCAGCCAGTTGATAGCATTGCTTCGCCGTTTTGTACTATAGTAGCTTCAGTCATACAGTGACGCGTGTATCGTGTAGACGCGTTCAGTACGGGATGTTAGCGCGGTGACCGCGCTCTTTCGTAGTTAGTAAGGCGGGAAAAGTTCCCGCCTACATCGCCAAAATATTTTCAGACGCTAATAAGGTAATTCATGTGTTTATGTGAAGTACAATTTAACTCGTATTTTATTAGTAATGATATCCATAATTTATTGAGTTTAAAATCATTTATGGTGTATATAATCTAAAACGATTCAGTGATTCTTAATCTCCATATACTTACTACGATTCTACCGATCTACTTATATTTACTATTTATTTTATATCATCTATCTATCATGTTTCTCTACCAAGAAGCAAGAATACATGTGGTCCATAATGGTTTATTCGGTACTAGTACATATTAAAACGGAAATACGCGATACATTTTTAAATTATGTGAAATTAAATTTAGATTAATTAGATTCGGAGTTCCCTTTAATTCAACATAGATTACAACGTTAGAATAATCCATTTATAACAACATTAGAAAATTTATGGATTTTGATACTTAAAGTATAACTATAAAATGAACCGTTATGCCATAAGTATATAGATATGTCACTTTTAATTGCGATTTTAACATGTTAGGAGCACTATAAATTAAAATGAATCGCAAAAAATGTTCCTAAGTAAATAACTCAACGACGGCTGGACCAATTCGAGTAATTTCTTTGAAATTTAATTTTTAAACTGAGGAAAAACAAATTGAAAAATTTAGTTTTTTACCGTTATTTCGGAAAAGCGAACAGTTTGGGGTAGCATAGCAAAGGTTCCATATGTTGGTATGTAGCTACTAAAAAGGTAGGCTAAGTAAAAAAATCATATTAAAGCGGCTTAAATATCAGTTCACGGTGGCAGCTAGTTATTACTAAATTATTGTTAAAACAATTTTAATTCCAAATCACTTTTCATTAGTTCCGGTTTATTTAATATTTTTAGACAGATTGGTTCATTGCACTCCTCCTTGTGCTCACCTTATTTTATTAAATTAAATTTTTTTCCTCACAGTGGTTGCCTGACAGAGGTTGGTCAAAAGCGATAAGACCGCCAGTTGCCCTTCATTTAATTTAATCATTTTAACTGTACCGTATTTCTTACGAACGAAGTGTAAACAAATAAAATCATTGTTATTCATAATTTTCCATAGCAAACATTTTTGGAATACTTTGATTTCTTCAAAACAGTGTTTTTATCATGTAATGCAGTTACCGCAGCCCATGGACACCTATGTGAGTAGGTGCGTTGCCGGCCTTTAACTCTACCTTCCCATATCCCTAATCTTTTACCCATATCATGTTTAAGCAATTAGTTAGTAAATACCTCAAAACCTGTGAATTAAATGTAGGGTATTCTATTCGTTGATGTCGCTTGAAATAAGTCTCACAATATCCGTACAAACTCATAATTTGAAAAATACAAATTTTCCTTCGGTTTTAAGGTCGCTTAAAAATCGCTAAGTGACGTAGTGTCGGTATGAAATATTGCATCTACTAATGCTATCTCTCGAATCGGCCAAATTTTAGATAGGAATTTAAAATTTTAAGGTATTATTATTAAAAAAATTCTTGATCGCAGCTTATCTTTATTGAGACTGGCCATTTACGATATTACACAAGTGGGCAGACACACCTCTTCTACATGATACTCCGATGTCTGACATAGGGATAGCAGCAGGCCGGATGGTATTGCGCTAATTTAGGGTATTTTGGGTTAAAAACATCAAAAGCCCTAAAACATATTCCTCAAATTTTGGTAATCAATGTTTTTGGCAAATAGGTCGGCGATTGACGCTTACAAAGTTTTCATCTTAATTGCGCACATCAAAAAGTCCATTGGTGATACGAAAATCAGCCCTGTGATTCTGTAACTCTGAAAAGGTGGGAGCTTGTAGTTTATTGTTTATCAGAATGCCAAATCATAAAATGACTGCTTCACGATTGATTTGAGAGCGACCGCCGATGAGAAAACCGCTGTGTGAGTTCGAAAAGTGAGTTACAGAATCGCAAGGCAGGTTTGAAAGGCACCCTACAGTCTTCGCGGTGTATCGGCCCCGATGAACACTTATATATCGGAGACTAGACCAATGCAAGAATCTATATAGGCACGTGCGTTAACCAAGTCTCTGCATGGTCTCAATCAGATGTAATAGAATAAATGCCAATAACACGCCGGCAATATTCTCAATCACAATTGTCTTACATTGATATGCAATCTTGGCGGCGCCGAAGACAATTATACGGTGTTTAGATGATAAAGGGCGGAACCGACCGATTTTTCCAAGAAAGAACGTATTAAATGTTAGACTAATAAATAGTTTATGATATAATAAATTACTGTTTTAGTAATAATAAAATATATTAAATGACTAATACAAAATCTATGAAACTGTTTGACAAGATTTTATAAACTATCATAGAACCTCTTTTTCCAAACCAGTCATAGTACAGCATTACGACCACACTCAAATTAGAACGAAAACAAGAAAATATTTAGATTTAAAACAGCATTTAAAAAAAAATTGAATGTAATTTTTAGGTTTATGGCAAATAATTACTATAGAATTTATTAATTATTTTTAAAAACAGCTGGCGCTTACAATGTTTTTCTTATTAGCTTGCAAATATTGACAATGTTATGTAATTTAAAACTAATTGATTCAGAATACTGAATACACAATTTACTTTTTCAAAAATACTTTAATTTCACATATCCAAATAATATAATATTAAATCTTATGACTTAGATCGTTCTAGTAAATTTTTGTGAATAATTTATACGTGTATGTTGTTCTGGTACGCCTTAGACCACAGATTCCCAACCTTAATTTTTCCATGACTTAGCCTTCCTAAAATTCTTATGTAACAATAATACATAATTTTTAATATAACAAAATTATAGTAAATTATTGACCAAACACAGTAAGTAAATTTTCAAAATTTAATGAAAAACTGAAATTCAAATTCTAAATAATAGTACAATAATTTAAATTAAAAAATAATAATAAACCCTAGGGGTAAGAGAGATTCGAGCGCGCTAAGTATGACCGCCTATACGCCTATACGTCAAATCCAATTAGTTTTTGACATGTGGTAGTCACACTTAGTGCTCTCGACTTTGAGGCTACTTGTAGAATGAAAAAGGTCGTGTAATTCCCTGTAAATGATAATCATGTAAATGATAATCATAATCTTTTTAGGTCTGGGCCTCAGAATTCTCTATCTGTACCATGATCATTTGTCAATCTAATAGACAAGTAGGTGATCAGCCTTCTGTGCCTGTCACATGCCGTCAACTTTTTGGGTCTAAGGCAAGTCGGTTTTCTCACGATGTTTTCCTTTACCGTTCGAGCGAATGTTAAATGCGCAAATAGAGAAAGAAAATCCATTGGTGCACAGCCGGGGATCGAACCTACGACCTCAGGGATGAGAGTCGCACGCTTTACCCACTTGGCCAACACTGCTCTCGATCAGGTAAAAAATATCTGTAGTTAGTCAAGGTCTATATACCCCGGGGTTTTTTATAGTAAACGGGGGCAAAGGGGCAGGACGCTATCCTGTTGCTGGCGTTTTAGGAATTGGTGCGCTCTTATATTGAAGGAAGTTTTTTTGGTATGTTGGTAGTGCTACGAACCTCTACTAACATTGTAGCTGCTACGATTTCGTTTGCTACTGTTTCTTCGTCATACTGTAGCGTTCGTAGTTATTACAAGTTGTGTTTTAGATTCCAAGTATTAGTACTATTACTAAATTAATCGGACGTCAAATTAAATTGCTATTTAAAGAGATCAACATTTATTACTTCATCTTGAGTAGAATAATTTTTTTTTATTTTTTTTCCCTATTTGTAAAATATATTATGTATTCCATCTTTGGCTATATCTTTAGCTGTAGGGTTACGAAATAAATAAATAAACCGAAGTAAGTAACCGAAGGCTTTGTAAACACGCTTTATATTTTGACAAATTCAGATATGATTTAATCACATCAATCGTATAATCGCAGTATAGAGATCAGTAGACGCATTAAGATAGCAAATCGTTGATACGATACTCATACTTTGGCCCTAGTAAATATTTCCAATCGCGACTTCTCCAGAAAGAACCAACCTTGTTGAACCAAGCTTGTTTTGTACAAAACTCTGCTGCAACCAGTGTCCATTTATGGTTCTGAAACCTGGGTCCTTAGCAAGAAGGAAGACCTTGCTCTTCTTATTTTCGAGCGAAAGATTCTTCAAAGAATCTTTGGTGTTTGGGGTATCCGCTACAATGGACATCTTTATAACATCCAATCGTCCAATTTATAAAACGCAACAGGCTGAAGTGAATGGCGGACGACAGAACCCCAAGGTCCTTACTGAACTCGCAACCTGGTGGCAAGAGAAATGCCGGTAGACCGTGCGTTTGTGTGCTTCAAACAATAGGTGTTCGAAGTTGGAAGCAAGAAGCACGAAAAAGTTTTCGATGGCGAAATATACTTGAGGCTAAGGTCCATAAGGGGCTGTAGACATTGATGATGAGCACATCAAGCTTGTGTTCCGTTACTTCTTTAGCAATTTCGTGGGTAAAATATTATTACGCCAGTGTATAAAATTGAGTATGGCTCGCAATTAGTTTAGCAAAAGTTGTGAGTGGTAAGGACGGGTTGTATTTAACTAATCCTAACTCGATTCGGGTAACTCTGACGGAATTATACCTCGCTTTGAAACTACTACGCTGTAGGCTTTTGTGAATAGAGGAGTAACGTAAATTGAGTTGTTTGCGCGTTTTATATTTTCTTATACTACATTTAATATAGGGAGCAGTGTTGACGGCTTCAGCTTGCGACTCTCATCCCTGAGGTCGTAGGTTCTATCTTCGGCTGTGCACCAATGGAATTTCTTTCTATGTGCGCATTTAACATTTGCTCGAACGGTGAAGGAAAACATCGTAAGGCTTGCCTTAGACCCAAAAAGTCGACGGCGTGTGTCAGGCACAGAAGCCTGATCACCTACTTGCCTATTAGATTGACAAATGATAATGAAACATATACAGAAATCTGAAACCCAGAGCTAAAAAAGTTATAGCGCCACTGATATATTTTAAAGGGGGATTGATTGTCTGTCACTTTGTGATATAAACGAATTTCTAGGAAGTACTTTCGAGAAGGTACTTAAAATACGTGCACATGCAGATGTAGATTATTAAAACTTATGAATATAGAAATAATTGTCAAAATTAAGTACAAAAGCAGATAACATAACATAACATTTATTACTAACACACATAAAATTATAATAATCAAAACAGCAAAAATAACAAATAATTATGGTAGGAAAAAAGGAATAAGGTACATTTTAAGTGTGTAATGTGTGTGTGTTGTGGTTGTAACTGGCACTGGCTCAGCATTATGCTGTGGAGCAGACGTGTTGCACAGCGCTGGTTGTTCTGCCAGAGACCACAACAGTAAGTTTGCGCCTCAGACGCAAAAAAATAAGAATAATTGTTACTCAAACTACTATAAGAAATAGATAAATAAATATTTTTGGGCGGATTAAAAACAAGATTCGTGAAATTGTTTATGACGTTTAAAAAATATATTTTAAGAATTTAGACCTCTGCTCGCCGCAACTATAGGAATGGTTACTGGAAAGACGAGATATATTTTAAAAGCACATATTAGTAAACGCTAATTTTCTACTTAAAAACCAAACTATTATTCCTAATAAGAATGAACGAATTAATTACCATCTTTAATTGGTCCCTGAAAACAGAGAGTATCCGGAGTTTATTCGATAAACTAACATCAATTGCGTCGCGACATGCATCCGCATTATAATTGATTATAATTGCTCACTGTGAACTTTATACTGGCAACATTCATGTCGAGAATATTTCACATTTTATTCCAACATTAATCTTTTATAATTAAAATCAGTAATACAAGCAATACTTATAGTAAAAATGTTATAAACGCATATAAGAAACTTATTCGATTTTAGAAAAAACTACCACACTTTCTTTCACATATTGTGTTAGTTTATGTAGATTTTAAATTAGGAATTTGACAGTTGACACAACGCGCAGCAACAACAGAGTAGCTATTTCTATACAATAATCAGCCAGCAGCTTCAAGTTAACAGAATAAAAAATTAAACTTTATATTCAACAGGATAAGTTACAAATTAATTTTGTCAATATAAATATTTAAAATGTACTTTGCGATTGTATCGTTGTATAAACCGATTAAAGGCCACAGAGTCCCGTTTACGCAAATTATGAGTGACAGCTCGGCAGAAGTGTAGGGTCATAGCGAATATTAAATCCTCTTTTTATTGAAATATATTTTTTATAAGACAAATTAAACATTTGCTTGAATACATTGTATATATGTTTTTTTCATTTGCGTACGTACGTAAATATAAATTGAAAAGGCTTTATATTAAATAACAGGATATATATAGGATTGAAATAGTTTCCAATGATTTTCAAAATCAATGAGTTCTATTTAAAATAATAAAAAATATATCTATTTCTAATTCACCTCTAACAGACTAAAAATTAAAAAAATCCACGAATTAAAATTGTATGAGCATTTCACTGCGTCGGATTGTCGTTCGATTGAACCATTAATAGTTAATTTAAAAGCTTCAATTGATCTCCATTACACTTATAAAAGTCTGATATTAAATGAGCGAGCCGTTGTGATCAAATATTATTGATTGTTTGGACCAAAGCGGGTTCTATCGTAAAATAATTTGTTTCAATTTCAATTGAATGAATTTTCATACAATTGATACGATCTTGTTCTAGTTAGTTTGATTGGGACAATTAATTTAGTAGTCAGTGATTTTTTGATTTGAATTCGATATACATTTTCAGAGGGGTCTACAAATGAAAACTTATAACTCATATTGTTTTGCATTTACTTTATTACTAGTGTTTTTGTACGGATATTCCACTCCGCCATCTTCATAGTATTGCAAACAAACAAAAGAAAACAAATTAATCGTAAATCGATAAACACAGATTATTAATTGATGCAAGATGCACAGATAAAAGATGGACTTTAAAAGCAACTACATGTATATGGAAAGAACCAAAGGAAAGAAGAAGAGGACGCTCTATAAAAAGGTCGATAGAAGATATATAAGATATAGAAAATAATGATATATAAACATTAGCAGGATCAAAGGTACCAAAGGCATTTACGATAGCGAGTAACAAGAAAAAATTAAACAAATTTAAAGTATATTTTGTAAAAAATTTAATTAAACGGGCTTTATAATAATAATTATTATTATTTCATCTTTATAGTTATTACCACCTGACCGTAAGAATCCTAAATAGGACTAATAAAGCCAGCTCTTTTGAGAATAAATAGGATCGGGACAAAAGCAGACACACTCCATTCTTGTAACGGGGGAATTAATTTTATTTTTAACATGAAACTGTATAGGGCTCACACCATTGCATTCGAGTGTTCTGTTCTGTGTTCTACCATTGTAACAAAAACTTTAATAATATATTAGTGTGTCTTGTGTATCAATCCCAAAAGTCATGAGTTCGTTTCTTGGCTTGAATAGATTTTTCTATGAGTATAGTGCTCGATGAAGGAAAAAACAGTAAAACCGGACTGAGAATTTCACTCATTTAACATCTATATAATGAAAAATGACTAAGCGAACTTAAATTGTCAAAAAGGGTAGGAAAATCGAAATGAAATCTTCATTGATCAAACATATCTCGCTCCGCAAACACAATTTACTTTGAAAATTATATTTGTACCAATCGGTTTTCGATACGACTCGCAGCAATTCGATTAACGATCAACTAATTATGAATATCGCTTTCATGTTGTTTTAATTAATCAATTAACATTAAATATGATTTAATTGTATTATTTGTGTTTCGTTATGATTATATTTTGTGCAAGAATTGACTTTATTGTTTATTTGAGAAGTGTTTTAGAAGCTTGAGCGTTCGAACCCTTCTCAAATCTAAGGCTGTCCATTCGAATCACGGCTGTGCCTTAGACTCAAACATCGACGGTATTTGTCAGGCATCGAAGACGGATCACCTACTTATAAAAATAAATGATCATGAATCAGATCTGAGGCCAAGACTAAAGGTGCAATGCTACTGTTATTTTTGAAGTTATACTTCTGGCGCGTTAGGATAAAATGAAGAGAGTAAATTTTTACGATGCGCGCGCACACCGTCCCAAAGAACCGACACCCTGAATTTGGTTACTACAAACGTAGAATAAATTTTTTGAAAAGATTTTTATCTTGTTACGCCAAAGAAGTATAACTTCTAACGCGTGTACATAAGTACACAGACGTTTTTGGATAAGATGGTGAATGATGGTGATGAGACTGTTGATGTTAGTTGATGAGACACCAATCACAAATGGAGATCATTTAACCAACAATATTTTTGATATTCAATCATCGGCTTCTGCTCAAATCTTTATTAACAAAAATATTTTTGGTGGTGGAACGCTTTGATCCGGTAAAGTGTTTCACCTTCAATAGGTACCAGAGGGCTCGCTAGTTCATTGCCGGAATTAGTGCGATTTTCAAGAAGGACCCTAGGTCAGAATTAACTTGACGGGCAGCTGGTTCCACATAGAGGTGGTGAGCGTCAAAAGATGCCTAAAAAAACGCTTATAAATGTTTTTCAATAAAATTTTATTTAAATTGCAATCAATTAAAAAACATTTGTAAGTGTTTTTTAATTGATTGCAATCTTTAATTTTATTAGTTTAATTCAGTTAAGGAACAAATAATCTTTGAAGTAAATATTTTTAAAAATATATTGCTAAACACTTTTCATTACTCCTATCTTTATTATTCCCGAATTCTTCATATGTTCCCACACTTAAATCAGAGATAACAAAAATGGCGACGACAATCTCGCCTTTAGTGCTACAAGCATAATAAACATTGTTTTTTAAACCCAATTCTATAGAACATTCCAGTGTTTAATGAAATAAGTGGCTGAATAAGATTTTATCTTCATTTAGCAGTAGTGAATAGAGGTTGAATAGGTTTAAGATAATCCAAATAATTAAATATTCTCTGTGGTGTATGGGAACGTGTCTATGGTTTTCTAGATCCGTTTTATTGAACATAGACACCGCTTTTTTGCTAATTATATTAGATATATAGATTTTATCGTGCTTTAGAGTAGTATAAGTTACACACACACTAAGCCAATTTGATAATGTCGAAATTAAAAATAAAATATTGAATACATAGTATACACAATATCGCTACTGTCACGCAGCGAACATATAAAAATGTCGATTGTGTTTTTTACATGTGGGGACACGAATGTTGTTAACGGGGCTGTCGAACAGACTGTTTCGGGCCCTTGGTATGCAAACAACCTCTTCGCGTCGTCGTACATATCCTCTAGGTACAAAGAAACCATGTTCGTGTAGAACGCCTCACCATCCCAAAGCAAGACACAAATAAATGAATTCGGCGTGCGTTAACCTACTATAAAATGTATGAATAGGAATGTATGTGTAGTCTCAGTAATTTATTTTACATACAAAAGCTTGCCAACGCTCGGCATATATTCATATGGTAGGTACATAAAGAACAATAAAAAATACATCGATTCATAAATTATAAAAATATAATTGATTACAAAATGTGGATATCCAACTATGGATATCCAGACCAGGCTCGTTTATCAGAATGCTCAATCTGGAGTTTTGGCCAAAACGCGTTCTTCTGAAAGGGATGGGATGCCAATTGGAGCCAAATGGGATGTGTGTATATAGGCACAGGAAAATTTTAAATTTATTTAAAAGGTTGGGGCAATATATAATATCTTAAACACAAACGATATATCTATAAACTTTCTACGATTTTCCAATGACAACATCTCAGAAATTTTGACATTAAAAATAGCAACACCGGTGTCAAGGTTGATGCAGTCGGATGCCGGCGATGGGTGGGTGTAATGTAATGGGCAATACAAATAGGATTAGCGGTTAGGGCCCCACGCGTGCAGACAGGACGAACCAATACAATGCATTGGACAGTTAGATACATATACGTGCCAATTTTTTAGCTAATCTAACATTAATACTTACTGGGTAAGAGAGCTGAAAGCTCAAAGTTTCGTTAAACTCAAAAACATTTACAGATACCTGCAAACTTCTTGAGCATTAAACAAGGGAGTGGGGGAAAGTTTGCGCATCGCGGGACGTAAACGTCAACTGATTTACCAATCACGTGATCGACACGTCACTCTAACGTCACGTTTTTACAATCTTTGCGCAAACATCCTATACTCTGTGGCTCATAATTCCATAGTATATAAGCGGTTTTATAGTCTGTGACTGTGACTGGCAGAATAAAAAACACAGTGAATAAACAATGATTTTCATACATTTCATCCAATGCTCCATACATTTTTGATGAAAAAGCTATATGAATCTTATAAATTTGACGTGGTATATGGGTATTATTATTATTAATTTTAGAACATTATTTATAAGAAACAGTTTCTGAAAAAAAAAATTGACGGCTCTGTGTTTTTACTCACTGGTATTTTCGAGTTGTTTAGTTAGACATTTTTTTACATTTTACATATGTATTAATTAAATTTAACAAATACCCTCATGCGAGCAGTGAGCTAAATATGTTTGATATAACAATTGCGTCAACAATAAAAACAAAAATATCACTGAATTATATAACGGCGTCCCTAAACGCTGACGTCAGAAGCATCGTATGCGCCCGCGCATCGTTTAGCCGATTCATAGCTCCATTAATGTCATTTACACGGACAAATCGCCGTCGATCCGCACGTGGGTCACTAATATGTGCAATTGAATTTCATTGCCATTTTCCTCTTAAACATGTGGTTACACTTATTTAAATTCTTATTGCCTACGCAAAATTAAGTCACAATTGGAATGTCAAGAAAAAACACATAAAAAAGAGAATGCTATACTAAGAGTATAAAGATTTGTATTTTTGTGTATTTGTCAGGAAAATATTAAAAACTACTCGACCTATTTAAAACAAATTTGCATTTAGATGGTATCCCAGAGTAACAACGCTGTATTTTTGTTCAAAATAAAAAAAAGGCAGCAGCGTTCCCGAGACTGGCCGAGGTAGTCCTATATACTGATATAGCATAATTATGAATAACAGCTGATATTGTTTAAAAGGAAATAAAAAGTTAAGACAAGCGTACCAATCCTTGAAAGGCCGGCAACGCAATCGCTAGTATGAATTAATCGGATGAGCCTCCTGCCTATGTAAAACTTTGTTTGTTAGAACTTTTGAGATTGTTAACAGATTTTTATTGTAATGGTAACATGACATTCAATGAAACATCTTAAATTAAAGATTTTCTACAGTTTAAGATACAATGTAAAGTTCTAATCTATGACAATTACGGTGGACGGATTTTTTTTTTACATTTCCTATAAAAAAAAAAAAAAATCATCAACTTAATAATTACGTATGTAGAATCGACTCCCGGTGGAGTCTTCCCTTGGAGATACGACCTCCAATTGTATAAAAAAAGAGTATACTCCTCCCTCAAAGGCCGACAACTCTAACTAAAATAGGTGTCCATAGGCTAATTCTCCCTTTTGGGTCCTGTAGGCTCATTTGTCTCGTTATACGATAAAAAATACACTCAATATTACATACATTTATTCACTTAAGGCTGACAAATACCTAGCGGGTGCCTAACTACGCATTTATAAAATTTATGAGCCCACAACCAAACCAAATAACCAACCTACAAATATATGAGGAGCATCCATTCTACCCATAGAGAGGAATCCCAGAAATTCTGATGATTTTTAAACATGGAGATGAATGTTAATATTCTTTAAGACGTTATTTGCGGCTAAAATAACGTCTAGATTCCCGATTGACATAGACATAACAATTATTCCTAACAAAAACACACACACATAAACACACAAAATAACAATAATCAAAGAAAAAAATAAAATAAAAATTATAATGAGAGATATAAAAAACACCCTTTTCCTTAAAAAGAGAAAGAAAATAATAATATTAGTTAAAGTTAGTAGTGCAAGTAATGAAATCTTGTGTAAAGGTGTGTAGTAAATAAAATAAAATAAAGAATAATTGTTAAGAAGTAGATTAATAAAACATTTTTTTTATTGTTTTTTATCCGTTTTAATATCCTGAGGCGGGCTGATACAGGTTAAAATGTATGGTATACATAACAGTACTAACACGAGACAACAAACATCCCGCTGTATAATTTCCTTGCACAATTATTGTCTATTTAGGACCTTGATATAAGAAAGTCACAATACAATTGACAATCAAACCGCGAATTAAATGTATGATTACTAGATCCTAGCCGACAAACGGCTGTACATTAGGATTCATAATGCATTTCGCCTTTGTTATTTGTTGTTTGCTTTGTCGGTCTAATATCAACGTTTTGTTTTGGATACATTTTATTTTTAACCTACATAACAATAATTAATAATGGATTAATAGAAAATAAAACCAATTTAAATAGTTGGCGCTCTTTTTTTTCTTTTTGCTGGCATTTCCTCGCTGTATTATGATTATTTGTTGAGCGAGGAAAACACCAGCCAAACTACAAGCTCCCTCCTTATCAGAATGCCAAATCATAAAATGACTGCTTCACGACTGATTTGAGCGCGACCGCCGCTGTGAAAACCGCTGTGTGTGTTCGAAAAGTGAGTTACAGAATCGCAAGGCAGCTATGGAGTCATCGGTACTACCAGGCGCCAACTTAAATCTTTAATTAGCGCCTGTGCACTTAAACCCCACTACCCAAGAGTCTCTACTCCAAAGCTATTTAAGCTTTTATATAGACGATAAATGTTGTATATTATAGATGATTTTTATGTGATATATAGGACAGTAGTTTTTATTGAATACGGCTATCCAAGGGCTTCGCTAGCCGTTTGTCAAGGGGTTAATACAGAGCAAGGGCTGATAAAGTATAACACTAAAATGCTGTGGAAATAATTTTATTAATATAGTGACTAATAAATTTTTTATTCTCTGACAATGGTTTTAGGAGAGTACAACAAGATTAATTTAATCGATATCATTACTAAACACTAGTCCATGTTATAATTATTAGTTGTCTTTGATTTACATAACCTTTACACATTTAAAGAAAAAACTGTTTAACCGGATTGAAGTTATGTATTATTATAAATTTACAACTATTTAACATAATTTTTAATTGTCACCGTGACCACGCAACTTACAGCGTGTAAAGCACGCGAAACGTCGGATAAATTTAAAATTATGTGAAATAGTTGTAAATTTATAATAATACATAACTTCAATCCGGTTAAACAGTTTTTTCTTTAAATTATTAGTTTTTAATTCATTAACAAAAGAGTTTTATGTTTATCTAACAATGCCAGTTATAATGTAATAATAATAATAAATTTATTATTAATCATTCATAGCCTCATTTATTCCTTGAAATATTGATCTATCTTTACAAAAGACATACACTTAAAATTTCATACAGAAATAGTACCTACTTATATTCTTTTTCCATGAACCTCTTATAGTGTATAGGCCGTTTTTTTTTCGTGGGGAAATGCGTAACGTACCCTCCCGCGGCACGGTTGACCTGGTGGGGAAGGGTTATGTGGGCATACCCACTGCGCCACCAGCAATCGCCCGGGGCAGGACACGATAACAGCGTAGCCTTGTCCGCATCTAGCCACGCGATCAGCCGTTCATATTACGGTCCCCTACGGCCACGAATGATGTGGAATGGACCTTGGCACAGCAAGGGCCTTTCACATCGGCCAATTCATCCTGTTTTATAAAGCTGGGGGAGGCCGGGTACAATGCTTGCAGGGATGCGTTAGCATCCCTTCTTTTGGACGATAGTGTATAGGCCTCCTCCATCTGTACCTACTTAAGACGTGTATATAGTAATAAGTATTGATTTTGACACAGGAAAGGTTAGGACCAGATTAGGATGGAATTAGAAGTAGGTGAGTATAAATTCTGTATTCTTGCAGCTGGCGAGCGGTGGCGGCGGCGGTCGCGGGCTGTTCTGCTACCACTGCCCGCCGAGCTTGCCGCCGCACCAGCACCGCCTGCCAACCCTGGAGTATCCCTTCACGGCCTCACACCCCTGTGAGTACTGTTACTTTTTGAATATTTCAAATAAACTTTTAGTGTTATAAAGGTTTTAACTAAACCTACAAAAATATCTTGTAACTGGTCTGATCTAATATACAAATATTACTCACGTGACCATTTCCATACGAATAGGTGTCGTAAAATGCTTTTGTCTACGGTCCTTGATGAATCAATCATGAAAAAAGGGTTATCGCAGTCGAAACTCCCGCTTGTCATATTCAATACGTTTTTGACAAAGGCGTACCAGTTCTTCTATTTCGGAAAGTACTATAGTTTAATGTTTTATAATCACCCAAATTCGTTAGATACTTGTTTCACAAGCCTTTGCGCACATAGTATCTTAACAGATTTGTTGCTTGAACTCACAAACTCAGTTTTGAGAAACTCACGCAACCAATAGGCTATTGCTGATATTTCAAACATCAAATATTGTTCAAATTCAAAAATCATTAATTCATATAGGTAACAAAATGTACACTTATGAACGTCAAAAAATAAATATATATAAAATGCTTCTAATTTTATAGTAAATGGCAGAAAATGCCAGTTCTCAAACCAAGGGCGTGGAACGGAAGAGAAGAACTGGCAATAAACTCTCCGCCACTCTTTTTTGTTTTTATCAAAAACTTTATTTAGTATGAAATTTGCTTAGTATTATAAACTTAATGTTTCTCCTACATAAATAGGAACTCTAAAACTAGGAATTGTAACTAGAGTAGCGAATTAGTCTAATCGAGACCTAACCATATCAAGTAGCCGGCTGGCACAAACTTCGCTAATAGCATTGCAGAAACCGCAAACGACGTTATTGCCTGTTAAGCCATGTTTCGATTGCTAACTCGATTCCTTTGTTATTTTGATTCGATTTTAGTATAAAAAGTATTTATAACCGTACATCATAATGCGTTTAATGTTAAATTAAATAGATAATAAGAGGACCACTAAACAGAATGGCAAAAATGTGCGATCTGCTGCAGGACTTGATCTTTTGCTTTGCTATATTTGTAGTTTAAGGTACCTACTGGATTTTGTTGTATGTAATAGATATATAAATATATAATAAACGGCTCAAATATAAGAGTCTTCCTCCAACTTTGATTTGTTCCCTTTGGAGTAGAGACTCTTGGGCTGTGGGCTTCAAGTGCACAGGCGCTAATTACAGATTTAAGTTAGCACCTAGTACATAGTAACAGTGACCCCAGAGCAGGTGCTTTCCTCGCTCAACGAATAATACCAATACAGTGCGGACATGCTGCCATTAAAGGTACACTGCCACAGGGGACAAACTTTTTAAATATGTTTAAACTTTCTATTTATTAATTTATTTATCATTATTACTATGTAGGTTAAGAATATTGTTTGTGCACGCCGTCAGCATCGATTACAGAACCAAAATTGGACTAAATTGGTTCTAGTGGCCAATCGTTTTTTTTTTGTTATTTCAATCTGCCCTATTACTTTGTGCATTTTCATTTTTTTCTAGTGCTACTGGGTCTTCTAGCTCTACAATATGGTACTTTTAGTGATCATTTAGTCTATGGTATTGGCGAGCAAGTTCAGGTATACAAAATTGATTTAGCTGCCAGCCCCCGGATTCCTCAATTCATTTAATTCTAAGTAGAATGAAACATGGGGGTTTTGGAACCGCCTCTGGGGACAAGGTCTGGTGTCGCTGGAGTATAATTATGTTCATTTATCACTTGCCTCAGCACAGTTGAAATAATTAACTAGTAGACGAATATGTTATTTACGCAAATAGGCGCATTAAACTATGTATTATACATATTTATTGTTACTATTTTTGGATTTTTTTGTTCCTACAACTTTAACTTATAATTGTTTTTGTTAATTATTTATATTTATAGAACAGGGGGCAAACGCCAAGGAATAGGCTCATATGATGTTAAGTGATACCGTACATGGACACTCTCAATGCCAGAGGGCTCGCGAATGCGTTGCCGGGCTTTTAAGGTATGGTACGCCTTATTAAAGGACCCTAAGTCGAATTGGTTCGGAAATAGTTCAGTGGAAAGAAAACTGAAAAATGACAATGATTTATTTCTAACCAAGATAACAATTATTATTCGGTCTTTATTATTATTCTATTACCTACAGTAATAAAAGTTATGCAACACTTTTGAAGGGACAAGATGAAGGTAGAACACTATGTATTAACTAGATTTTTTCCAAATAAGATCTTCGTTATAAACGGCGTTTAGAATCAGTTTCTTTCGTTATCCCGTTCACGTGTTCGGGGGGTGGTAATGTGCTAATGAATAGAAGGCAAGGGTGGGTGGGGTGGATGGGCGGGGCACCCCAGCTCCCTGGGGATTGGTCGCCGGCGGCGCCATCTATTATTCATAAAATAGTTTTTGAGTCGCGCCGCTGCTCGCTTTAACTCTGTTATCCAAACTAACTTAATAAGGATCATGTCACTTTAGATTAGACACATTTTTTTACGAAACCTCTGATCAAAGAGTAAGTGAATTAAGGTTTTATTTTATTAGTCTAATGCTTATATCAATTTGGTTTGATCTAGCAATATTTTAAATAAAATAACTACCTATAGGATTTTTGAATATATACGTTTTCACATTGTTTTTAATTATGTTTTGGATTTACTTAGATCAAGTGGCTTGGACCTGCTGGCATTAGGTTTGAATTAAAAAGCATTTCATTATATTTTTACGTTCATAAGTGTACATTGTGTTACTAATATGATACCCGCCGGTATGTAGAATCAGCTGTCTTTTGAGGTATTTCCGAACCAATACGACTTAGGGTCCCTCAAGAAAAGAGCGATCCTATTCTGAATAGGCCCGTAACGCACTCGAGAGCGCTCTCGCATTGACAGTGCTCTTGGGTATCAATTAACATCAGGTGTGGGCCAGTGGGCCTCCTCTAACACGGTGAGGCCTCCAGCCCGTTTGTACCCTGTTCTATTAAATTAATGGTACAATTCGTAAATGAAAAATATAAAAAATTCCAAAGTACGAAATTTGAATTTCGAACCTCGTCTTAGTAAACGAAGACGAATGTAGCCACAGACTAGTGTAGTGCAATTCATACAAATTTATCGTATTCATTATCTATTTAATAAACAACATAACCATAGAGCAAAAAAGTACGTTTTTACTAAAGCAATAATGCAGTCGCGGCTAGCCGTTTAAACTTTTTCTCGCTGCACTTAAGCCGGCCACTTCCGGCGGATGTTGAACACTTTTTAATTTCCGCCGCCGAGGGATTTTTCTACAGCCTTGATGAACTCTCAATTATTAATATTCAATTATTGCATATTTATAATGCTAAGTAAGAGGCTTAAGTAAACTGTAAAAGTCGATTTCAACAGAAGTTCTTAATATTTCATAATGTAATCACGGAGCGCTATATTTCAATTATTTTATAACTAGAATTTCATTTAAATGTTAATATAATTTTATTTTCACCTTATTTTCATGAAGTTATAAGTTATAAGCCTACAGTGATAAATTAATAATAATGCCTTTATTGATGTCGTGTCATAAGCATAGCGTATTTCCGAAAACTATTCAGGCATATTTAATAGCTAAAATAAATATTTAATTAACAATAAGTATATATTTATAATCATAATTTTGAGCTGGCGCCTGGTACCAGTACCTACTATTACTAGTGACTCTAGAGCTGGTGATTTCCTCGCTCAACAAATGAGCATCGCAATAAAGCGAGGTAATGATGCCAGAATTAAAGGTACACAAGGACCAAACTTTTTTTTTAAATTATATTAGGTAGGTTAAGAATATTGTAAATACCGTATATTGTTTGTTGCATTTAATTAGTTACTTTTGCGGTCTTAATTCGACAATAATATCAATCTATTTAGTAAATGTAAATACGCTTTCAGTTTAAAGTCTTACATCGATAATAACGCCAAATGTATACAATCAAATGTCAGATATAGATGCATGCATATTGTAAGTAACTTAAATACATTGAAAAAAAAAAGTTTGGTCCTTGTGACAGTAAAGTATAGAATATTAATTTAGTAAATTATATATAAACACCCCTGTGGAAGATGACGAAGTTTTAATAGTGGAGTATCGTAATGTCATGAAACGTTTCAATTAATTCATCCCATTAGCGGCGTTTTCCGCTCAACGACGCTTTGATAGCGAAACATCGTTATAGTTAATTATTTTTAATTTAAATATTTATGTTTTTTTATTGAAATACTCGAATGAAATTTATTTAAAATTATTACTGAACAAGACATTTCCGCTACATTCACACTTTTAGGTGACTTATCATATTTCCCTTTTTTTTATATGTTAAACTAACAGAGCAGTGTTGGCCTAATGGCTTAATGGCAGCATGCGACTCTCATCCCTGAGGTCACGATCTCACGGTTCGATCCCCGGCTGTCCACCAATGGACTTTATATGTGCGCATTTAACATTCGCTTGAACGGTGAAGGAAAACATCGTGGAGAAACCGGCTTGCCTTAGACCAAAAAGTCGATGGCGTGTGTCGGGCACAGGAGGTAGATCACCTACTTGCCTATTAGATTGACAAATGAACATAAAACAGATACAGAAATCTGAGGCCCAGACCTAAAAAAAAGGTTGTAGCGCCACTGAATAATTTAATTAATTAAACTAACTGGAGTTTCATATTACGAGGTCGATAGGTTAGATAACTTCGTCTGATTCGATTCCAGAACCTTCCATACACCATGATTAATCCAGAGATTTCCAGCCAAAAATCAATTTGTCTCATACAATGTGGGGCGCTAAAGACCGAAAGTTATAAATGTAACGCCATTATTGCCGAAGACAGCTGTAATCCCAAATGTTGAGGGCAATTTTGTCCTATAATGTCCGGAATGATATTATCGACAAGAATAATAGAGAAAGAGTCACCCTCAAGTCATTGATTCTGCTAGGGTCCATATGATTTAAGGTCTGGGATTATAAAGCAAACATTAATTCATAATGTTTAGTAAATATAAAAAATCTAAATAGCCTTTATTCATGCAGGCCTTTATTCAAAAACTTTTTATTTTTTCTCGGATCTTCCGTTATGTCAAGTATTGGGCAATGAACTCTACGACTCTTTAATCGTAGTTTTAATTTTGAATTTATCATCTTGACGTTATTATACTTTGCTTTACAGCGTGCGTGGTCACACGTGAAAACCAATCCTAGGTCAATGAATCAGTGTGTTTTCATTAAAAAATAATAAGATAAAATAAAGATATGGTTAATCAAAGACAAAATACTATCTGGAGAATAGCCTATTATTCATGCTTCAGGCCTTTTATTCAAAAACTTTTTATTTTTATTTTTCTTTCAGCCAGGTTCTTAGTAGGTACAAGGTTAGTCAAATAAAAGAACTGGCAATGAACTAACTTAGTCACTCTGTTAAATCGGTCTTTCAGTTTTTTCCATATCAAGAAAAATAAATAATGTCTGTTAGGGCGGCGATTAGCATTACATCGCTTTATTACATCTTGAAGCGATTAATTATAAAAAAAAACTGTTGAACTATAATGACGTAGGTACGTAATCACACGTAAAAAAACTAAAAGCTAATCTTAGGACTTATGAATCACAATGCTAGGTACTAAAATTCATTTAAAAAAATAAGTCAAGATTAAACAGATGGAAAAGATATGGTTAATAGGTGTTTATAGGTAGAAGGCTTTTAAAATACCTAATCGGGGAGCGAATAAAATAATAATAAACCCATAACTTTATGGCGGATATCTTAAGAGACTTGCCAACGAATGATGAGATGCTGTGAGATGGAATTTGCAAAATTTATCTATCAGACGAGCGTAATATATAGTTAGGTACAAGGATATGCCCTGTATATAAAAGAAATATCAAAGCAATAAAAAAACATTTAAGCCACTCAAGTGGTTAAACAGTAACATATTCACCCTACGGGGGTGCCACCTCATCAATTCCCATACTCAAAGAGAAATATATAATAATGTCTGTTAGGGCGGCGATTTAGCACTCCAACGTAATGGGCTGATGTTTCCGGGCTCAATGCTACTTTATTGCCACCCTACATCGGCATTGATATTTTAATTTCGTGTTTTTTTCGGATGAAATGCTTTTGTTTTCACTAAATTACTAAACGTTTAATGTATAAGTAAAAAGTAGAGATAGTTACCCAACTCAGAGGTGGTTCGAATCCTGGCTGTGCGACATTGCAACATGATTAGATCTCTCATTATCTAGGGATAAGTACATAATACTTGCCTATATAGGGCTTAAAAATACTTATTGTAATATAAAAAAAACTCTTTATTGCGTGAAATCTTACGGGTGTTTAAAATAAACTTGTAAATGTCAAACTCGTTTTTAACTGAAAAAAATAGATAACCTATTTTGTATTAACTGACTTCAAATAAAAAGGAGGTTTCTCAATTAGAGCGTATTTTTTTTGTAAATGTCAGGACATTGTGGTTTATGTATATATTTGTTGGAATGGAGTCAAGTGAAACAGGAGAAATCGAAGCTTCGAAAATATGTTCAAAGTCAAAAAGATGTGAAATCTCTCCTTCGAACGTAGTTTTTTTTTGTGAAAAATATACGACATCTCAAATCATCCTCTCATTGAATAAATGTGGAATATATCTATTGGTTTAGTAACAGGATTCTCAACAACAAATAAAACTATTTCTTTTATACTTTCTCACAGTGGGTCTGTATTACTGCAACGAAGTGTAAATAAATAATGTTAAATTAATGAAAAAAAATGTGTGGGTGTAATTAGACGAATGTAAAACGCACTTGTATAAGTGAAAACTAGGTACTTTTGACCTTTTATTTTAAACAAATTCAACTCCTTATTTGTTTAAACAGAGTAAATTCATTGTACACTGTCTAGTCATGGAATTCACAAATTAATGTTAAGCTGCTAAGCTAAGAAATGAATATGCGTGAAGTTAGCTATATTCTATTTCATTTTAGATTGCGCAATTCATCCGAATTTTGTCAAAGTTCGCGCGCAACGTAAAATTTACTATATAAATTTTCATAACGCGCCTAAAGAAGTTTAACTTCAATAAATAATTTAACAATTTTTCCCCAATGAAAAAAAAATTATATGGTTTCATTAACATTTTAAAAACTTAATTTATCTTTACAGATACAAGCTATTCTTACCATCCGGCGATACACGATGACACATTCGTGCGACGGAAACAAAGACGAAATCGGACAACGTTCACCCTTCAACAGGTAAATTAATATTTTTTTAACAATATGAAAGCTTAAAAGTTTCTTCTAATAAATGGCTGCTCTTTGGTCTAATTTCTCTGATTGTTTTTACGATTCTGTAAAATGATTTATATTATAGCCGCTATTATCTTTTGTCTATGAATCAGAATCTTATTATTGTATCAACAAAGGCTTCTTTTCTACAAAGGCAAAGATACTTTTCATTTTTAAATAAACCTTAATACAAAGCGATAAGCGCCATAACTATTTGTGATGATTCTAAGTAATAATAAAAAGACCGGCAAAATGAATAACTATAATTCTCATTTATTAAGAAATATATATTTTAGGTTAAGTATCAAGTAATTACTGTTGTATATATTACTATGACATGTGTTGTCAACTTATTAACAAAAGTAATTTAGCGATCTTAAATCCAAGACAATAATCTTTTAGCACAAATTATAATAGTGATCTTGGTATTGAACCCAGTCAAAATATCTTGTGTCAAAATTTTGGTTTAGCTATGATATCGAATTGTTGTTCAGAAACTAATACCAAATTCGTAATAACCTTTTGAAGTCTAAGGCAATTGTATTTCTCACAATGTTTTTTCTCCGTACGACCGATTTAAAGGCGCACTTAAAAATACTGCGGGTTCAAATCTACGACCATTCGGAAGAGAGTCGGCCTGTGACGCCACTAGACCTGTTCCACTACTCTATAACTGTTCTTGATATAGAGGTAATACATTTCTTTACAGTTGGAAGAGCTGGAGACGGCGTTTGCCCAAACACATTACCCCGACGTGTTTACTAGAGAGGACCTCGCTCTCAAAATTAATCTCACTGAAGCTAGAGTACAGGTAAGAATATCCTTACAATTTGTCAATGTCTTACATAACTCACAGGGCAGTCTGTGCTAGCTAGACCGAATGGATAGGGTGATGCTTCACACTAACGTCGACTGCTTTTTTAAAAACAATTTTACCTCAGCCATCATCTACAGGCAATATGCCCAATGCTAACTCCGTCGTACCAATGTCCAGATATGCTGTCAAAACACACCTAGCCCTGCCAGTCATTTTTGTAGTTCAATAAAAATAACTATCTACTAAAATAAAAAAAAAAGTTAAATTACAAACACCGTGACACGAGAATTGTATATATTGGTTTAACTATTTTATTTTGTTTGGACCTCTCAAAGAGTATAAGCCTTCTCCAACTGGCTCCACATTTCTCTATCTTGAGCATTTTTCTGACAATCTTCCTCATCAACTTCTTTAAGCCCATCAGCCCACCGTACAAGAGGGCGACCTCTCTGTATTTTCCCTGGTGGGCTTTACCACCTTTCCACCAAGACAAATAATATAATATACTAGCTGCCCCCGAGAACTTCGTTTCTCCTTAATATGATTTTACTTAGCCTACCTTTTTCTCTATATAAATCTCAGAGTTCAAGTCATAAGATTTTAATTAACAAATAAAAAATAAGGGTTGGTGATAGAGGGGTGAAAATTAGGGGTTGTATGTATTTTTTAATGCTGTATCATAAAAAAATAAAGAATAAATTTTTTAACTAAAATAAAAAAATAAAAAATTAGGGGTGGACTACCCTTAACATTAAGGGGGATGAAAAATAGATGTTATCCGATTCTCAGACATACCCAATATGCACACAAAATTTCATGAGAATCGGTCGAGCCGTTTCGGAGGAGTTTAACCACAAACACCGCGACACGAGAATTTTATATATCAGGTAATAGTCTTAAATATTTGTTGGGTTACGCGGTTAATGCGAAGTTCTTTGTTTAAAATACAATTACAATGATTTCTCAAGTTGTCAAATAAAAATTGCATATTTAAAACCCATGTTTAATAAATAATCACATTGTTCATATGTATAGGAACTGAACTCCACTTTATAGCTTAGTCTCGCGACGTTAAATTATGTAATTTTATGTATCACGTAGTGAAATATAAGGTTCTTGAGTCGTGTAACGTCTCACCTGGTTTTAGGCAAATTGCTCGACGCAACCGTCCATGTTTTATTTATATTGAGGTAAAAATTGCTACATTCCAACGTCAGGGCACGCAGGAAGAGAATTTAGTATCACCGGCTCGGTCGCTGCTTTGAAGGTTTTATGGATGCACGAACTGAAATACGACCATGCATTAATGCATTTTCTAACTAGTTTTAATTCCTTCTTAAATTTGATATGTAAACAATATACATAGAAAATACGGCAAACACTAATCAATCGAATTTTTTATCACAGTAATAAAATAAAATTATCACTAATTTAAATCGGTTTTTTATTATGATTATATTTTATATAAATTTTGCACAGTATAACGTCGTTAAGTAAATATATAATCAAAAGTTAGTGGCCAAATTGTAAAAACTCAAATAGCAAGTCAGACACACCCGTCAAAGACATAAAAGATAAAACTTGTATTCTATAACAAAATAATATTTTTTTGTTATATAAAGATCTCGCCTTCGATTCTAGTGTATAGTCAATTACATTAATTTTAATTTCATATGTATTACTTCCGTGGCTTATGTTAGCAATAATAACGGGTTCGATTTCCGACTAAACAAAAACTATACTTTATATATTTTATATATTCCGACTTAACTAACTAACTAAAATACTCTGAAATATAGTCTGATAGATATATATAGTTTATTATACCCTAAGTGTTATATATATCTTTGAGATGCCTTAAGTGACGTTTAAATTAAAATAATGTTTCTAAAACGGCATTTTTCATAACCATTCCTCAAAGTTAGCTCCATTTCCTAAATTCGTTAGCAATAAAAGTCAATTTCTCAAACTGTTCTCACAAAAATACCACGATATTTCGGGTTAAATGCACTCAGCGAAACTAACGCCGAGTCCCAGATCAAATTGTCGATCAGGCTTCCATTAGTTAACTAGCATTGTCAAAATACACATTCCATCAGACATTGCTGTCCAGTGAATATGGTTTGATCGGTGTCCTTTTAGGGATGACGCAATCGTGTAGGTATAATTGGTAGTATTAAAGGATTTTGCTTGAGTTCCTCGATACGGAATGATTTTGTATTTGTATGTATTCAACTAGAACTTACTTATATATTATATTGACCATACAATACGTATTACTATTATATATTATAAGACAATATACAAAGCCAAAACGGATTACATAGATAAACAATATATATGAAACAGAAAACATAAGTACATTAATACACAAAAATTAAAATTAAAATAAAATTAAAGAAAACTGAAATTTAACTTTAACAAACAAACAACAATTAATACTTAATATTTCAAAGAAAAAACTAGATTGTTACTGCTAAACATAGGCAAAGTCTTTCTGTCTCTTGAAATATTTATTTTCTTTGGTGATATGGAAAATTATTTATTACTTAAGATGTCATGTGGAACATGGTGTAATTGTTGTAGCTCCTTTCAAACGTTGTGTAAAACAAAAAAACTTGGCGATTAAAAGGAGTGGTGGAGAGTTTATTGCCGGTTCATCTCTTCCGTTCTACGCCCTTGATTTGAGAACTGGCAGTAAATGTAAAATTAGAAGCATTTCATATATATATTTTTTTTTGACGTGCACAAGTGTACATTGCGTTACCTATCTGAATAAATGATTTTGACTTTTGAGTCATTAGTTGAGGTCAACTTATACTAGTAACGTGTTTAAGTCCCTCTCGAAATTGTATTACAATATACATCTACCCCCTTGTGGATTAAGGGGTGCCACGTTTAACTTGTGGTAGCTTAGCTTGGGTATTATCTCATTACAATTGTTATTTTATTTAATAATACCTAGAGATTTGACTATAAGGTGTAAAAGAAATGTCAACATTAAAATTCAATTATTATCTACCTCAAGTATGATGAGGTATACATAATTTTAAAAAAAATTATAAGATAAGTTGCGTAGTGTGGGCTGGAGTGTTCAGAGGATTTCGAAAAATACCAGCAGCTGAGTTGCATCGGACGTCGAGACTCGAGGTGATACGGGAGGAATTTTGTATTCTGTCCCGCGCCACAACTGAGCGTTTTTTAAGGTAGATTTTGCCGCGAACTACCCACATGAAACCAACTACCCACTGAAGTATTTCCAAACCAATTCGACTTAGGGTCCCCAAGAAAACAGCGTACAAATTCGTGAAAGGCCGGCAATGCACTTGCGAGCCTTCTGGCAATGTGAGTGACCATGGGCGGGGCTATCATTTAAGATCAGATAAGTCTGCCCGTTTGCCCCTGTTATTAAAAAAAAGGACTACAGGACTTTTTCTTTTTACATCCATTACAATTTAATATTCATTCCATTATAGCGAAATAGTGAAAAATCAGATATCAGTAAACACATAAAAAATGTTCAGAAACGTGCATCCATCTGAGGCCAAGACCTATTAAGGGTTGTTGCTACTAGATTATTATTATCATCTATTAGTATTATTTACTCGCTCAACGATAAGTATCGCAATACAACGAAGAAAATTAAAAAAATTAAATTAAAGGTAAACCATTAGGGACCAAACTTTATTTTTTTTTTAGTTTATATTTATCAATTTTTAATTATTATTATTTACTTTGTAGGTTAAGAATATTGTAAATACTGTATATTTGTGTGTTTAAAATAAATATAACTAAGTTGTATTATATTCATATTAAAGTATGCTGCCCAGCATCCCATGTCTTCATACTTTTGTTTACTATTCCGTACTGCACGGATATAACTAAATGTTTTGTTTACCCATCTGCAATCAGCCTCTTGGCTTTTATCAAATTTTATGATATGATTTTGAGGCAATTAGGCAAAACTCACAAACTATCAAACTGTAGCAAGTCTCGCCCTTTTCAGCCGAAACATGGAGTCTGCAAACATCATGATGTTTCGAAGAGGCCCGAAACTAGGGGTTGACGTGTTGCTATAGTCTCCTTTTGTATTGTTCGGATGATCTTTTAATGGTACCTCGACAGTGGTAATTCTCGAATATTTATGGACCACGGCTCACCGCTAATATTTTGCAGTGTTTTGTTTTGTAGCCGCTGTAGGATCACAAAATATGCAGGAAATAAATTTAAAAAAAAAACATATAGTAAATACGATAGCTACGTAGTAATATAATTGAGTCGGCTTTCAATTTGATTCCCTTCCCCGTCGTGCGAGTGTCAGTGGTAATTCGCCCGAAAAATATAAAAAGGCGGGAGCACCTGTCCGCCATATTGGATTACTAGCCATACGAAACATTTCTATAACGAATTGATTTCATATTACGTCTGGGTCTTTAAGCTTATTAGGAGATTGACAGTTTGATTTTATATCGATAAATTCAGAACTGGAAATCTGTTTACACAATGGGACAGTTGACTTATAATAAATAGTTATTAATAATTTATTTATTTAGAACACAAAAAAAAAATAATAATCACACATCGCGGCATGGAAACCACACGCAGTATTTTTTTTACCTTGTAATGATATGAGGGCAATCCAGCCTTTCCGTTATTACCGCCAGGATGCTGTTAGCCAGTGTTGGCCTAATGGCTCCCACGTGCAACTCTCATCACTAAGGTCCAATGGACTTTCGTGAAGGAAAACATAGTGAGGAAAACGGCTTGGCTTAGACCCAAAAAGTCGACGGCGTGTGTCAGGCATGGGGGCTGGTAACCCAATTGCCTATTAGATTAACATGATCATGAAACAGACACAGAAATCTGAGGCCCAGACCTAAAAAGGTTAGGACACTGTCATCTATCACCATCGAAAATATTAAGCTTAGCTAAATTAATCCAATTTTAGCCAGATTTTATACTTTGAATACTGTACGTAATACTAATTATTAGAA